AGAAGTTTGTGTGTGCCAGGACAGCGGGCTGCTCACGCCTGGTCCTCGGTGCCCAGAACGCAGCTCTGTGAGCTGGAACCCTGCAGCCGGCACCTTCCACAAACCTGGGTCCTTGTTCCCAAGGGTCACATATTTCTCCCCAGGAAGTCCTAGACCAAGTGCGTCCTGTCCTGGGCAGGACAGGAGCACTGTGCTCCAGATTCCACAGGAAGGTGGCATTGTTGTTCCCCTGTGCTTCGTGGTCTCTTGTGCCTTTCTCTTGTCCCTAAGCCTTGTTTTTAGGAAGAGAACATGAGGGTGAGGTTTTCTTCCAGCTGGATGTCGTGAAGAAGGGACCTGGAGAACGCGGGCCGCCTGGCCTCCTGGGGGACCTGTGCAAATGTCCACCCTGCCCCTGACCCAAGCGAGCAGGAGTCTCCTCACTGGCTGCCTTCTTTCTCTATCTTAGCTGCTAGAAGCCAAGGCTGGGCTCCCTGAGGCTTCCTCTCAGGAAACTTGGTGGCTGTCTCACTCCCCACAGACCCCTTGTCTGCTGGAATAGCATATGGGTAGGGTCACTGCAGTCACACCAGTTCTTTGGATCACAGATGTGACACAGTGAGTGTCTACAAGTGATAGGTAACCAGGAGACGTTGGTCACAGCTTGCCTTGTGAGCATGTGGGCCCCACTCACCTGCACCTTCAGTATCCTGCCTGAGCCCCGCCCTCAGGAAGGACATCCAGGTGACTGAGCCGATGCCTGGAGTTCACACAGTAGGGCCTTCTGAGGCACAACGGGGCCTCTCCCCTTCCTGCTCCTCAGTGCCCATGAGGCTCTCCAGGTACTGAGACTGGCTTCCTTTTCCAGGATCTAAACTCAGATCTGCTATTCGAGTTTCGGTACTTCCACATAGAAGTGATGTGCTGTTCCCCGGGCACTGTCCTTCCTTCCATTCACGAAGCAAATGTTTACGAGCACTTCTTCTGTGAGACTCCAGGCTAAGGCCTGGAGATGTGGTACCAGCCAAGGCAGCCTGGGGCAGAGGGCGGAGAATCAAGCACCGCAGAGTGAGAAAGGTGGCGGCCAGGTGAGCGTGGGGCTTGTGGGAGTCCTTCAGGTCCAGGCTGAAGACACCCAGGAGGCCTTCCTGAGGAAGGCAGCCTGAGGTGAAGGCCTCAGGGTGAGTGAGGGTAGCATAACCCATAGCCTGGTAGCAAGGAAAGGAATGCTTCAGAAAGAAGGGACGTTGTGTGCTCAGAGACAGCTGCAGTGTTGTGGGGCTTCCGGGGCCTGCTCACGTGGACTCAATGTGGAGAGCTGTGCAGTGCTACAGAGCTGGGGACGACAGCAGTGGGACGGTGGGGGTGCGAGAGAGCCTGCGTGTATGGGCGGGTCCAGGTGGGTTCAGCGAGAAGTGAGATTAGTGGAGACACCAGAGACCTGAGAAGCGCTGGGAGGGGCTGAGAAGGGCACTGCGATGGAAGAAGGACCAGCATGCTCCCCCTGCGGAGGGGCTCCCCCTGAAACTTTCTGTGGTTCCATGAAGCCTTTCTCCCTTCCTGGAGTTGAACTGGAGCCCAGGCCTCTGTCCCTTGCACAGGGCTGCCTGTGGTGCTGACGTCCCCTCTCGCGCTGGCTGCAGATGCGCCTGTGCCCCACCCCCAGCGCCTCCTCATCTGCCTGCTTCGGTGTTTAGAAACTGTGTGGAAGGAAGCAGAGTTATAATGCTTTTATGGACACCCATTGCTCTCTAATAAAAGAGACAGTCAGTGCCCGTCTCAGAGCAAACCCCCCCAAAGAGGAGCTGCTCTTTTCTCCCCTAATCTCCACTCTGAGGATGTAGAAATCGAGGGTAAGATCATTTGTTCTAGGGATGCTGAGTGCAGGTGGTCTGGCTGGATCCAGAGCCCTTGCACGTAGTGTGACCAACTCTGCTTCTACCCACGCCGGAAGTGGCCCAGCCCCGCACTTGTGCGTGCCTTTCCAGCACTCATGTGCTGTGTATGTTGTAGAACATACACTGAAATTTGAAAATCATGAGTTCGAGTGATAAATATTTCCTGCTACTTTCTTGCATCCCAGGGGAGCATTCAGTGCATCTAGCTTGGGGGTCACTGAAGTAAAAGCTCCATTGCCTGAAAGGGAGGGAAGGAACCTGCTCCCTCAATAGCCACACGGTGCAGAGCTGGGAGACAGCGCAGTGGCACCGCGCCTGCTGGCAAGTGCAAGCTCATATGTTTGGTCCCCAGGACAAAAAAAAAAAAAAAAAAAAAAAAAATCCATAATGTGCAGAAACTTCTGGTACCCACTATGGGTCAGCTTCCTTGTTAGGAGCTTCAGATGCGAGTGGTGGATATTCAGGGCAGCGCGGATCCTGAGCAAAGGCTGGGAGGTAGACTGGGAGGAAAAACAGGCACTGGCAGGGCGTGGGGCTGGGTTCAACCCAGGGTCCCTGAAGTTTGTGATGGAACAATTTATTTCATTCTGGAACTATTTACTGGGTAGAGTTTGACAGCTTTATTCAGGAAGAAGCTGAAACAAGCGCAGTGGAACAACAGATCATGTTTCTTAGCTTGGGGCTGAAATTCTAACGATTCAGCATGGTATGGTACCAGTTATCCCAAGCTCATCAGAAGCTCTGATTTGAGATTAAAAGATATCTTTACTTAATAAAAGATGAGGAAAGGGCCCGCAAGATACTTCAGAGGACTAAGTGCCTGCTTAGGCAAGCACAGGGACCTAGGTTCCATACCCAGCTCCACAGGGCCACCCCTTGCCCTCCCCCCCCTTCACTGAGCCAGGAGACTGGGTGTGTTGGCGCATGCCCATAATCCCAGTGCTGGGGAGGCTGAATATAGGAGGATCACTAGGAGTCCAAGCTGTGTAGTGAGACCCTGTACCAAAGAACATAATTAAAAATAAATGATGAGGATATGTATGTCTGTTTACTTAATAGATGCAGCCTGGTAGACAAAAATCTTTCCCAAGCAGGCTGGAGAGAAAGGGGTTTCAGGAATGGGGCTCTTGGTGGTGTGGTTTTGATCAGTGTAATAAACATTTGCTGAGTGCTGAGCGCAGGCTCCTGCTGGCTCCGCACACTGTGTGCTCATATGGGATGTCTTTAGTCTTCGCAGCAACCTTGCAAAAGGCAGGGTGTATGGAGGGGATAATTTATAAACAAACTGGAAGCACACAGCTAGTAGGGGGTGAGGCAGTGAAGCAAACCATGGTTCTGCTCAAGTGCAAACCCTACAAATTCACTATACATTTTTGCATGTAAAAAAAAAAAAAAAGACACAAATAACTGAACATTTGGTGGGACAAACATAATGTCAGGCCAGAAAGACAAAGTTAGTCCAGAACAAGGAATGCTGAGCCTTATGGTTGCCTGGTAAGTTGTGTGGGAAAGGAGAAGGTTCCCTCATCATGAATCGGCAATACTGGTTTGGACAGGGGAATCGTAGCCCAAAGCTTTAGATAAAGAAACCAAAACACAAAGGACAAAGCCACCCAAAGATTGTGTGTTGCTGGCTGATTCCTGATGTCTCAATTGCCCTTGCTGCATTTCTAAAATAAACCCTCCCAGAAGCGCACAAAGCAACTGTAGACAATGCTGCCCTGCACAGTGAAGCCCAGGAGCATCATTAAGGTTGTGGGACCCGAAAAATCTCACAGCATTTGGTGAGGATGAACTGAGCAGGCTTCTGTCATGTTGACAGAACACAGAAAGTGCTTCCTTGCCCCCAACGATCAGTGGCCCTCCATTCTCCCTCCTACTTAGGGCCCTGCCAGATTGCAAGGAGCCCTTCTGGGCTGTGTTACTATTGCCCAGGGTTTGGTCAGTGTCTATGAAAAGATGGGTGGAGGTGGTTATGGTGTATGTCCTCTGTCAGCCAAGGTGGGAGAAAATAAGCCCGAGGTGTCAACTGGGCATGCTGTCTCGTACCGTATGCTTGTATATGTCTGTGCCTGTGTGCTCCCCAGTAGGCGACATACTGCACATGCTGAGAGGTCAGCCCCAGACAAAAACACATTGTCTGCACTCCCAGGCCTCATCCCAGGCCTGCGTCCTTCTTCTGAAGAGCTGGAAGTTTGCTCATAGAGTTGTGAAAAGCTGGCCATTCCAGCTTCCAACCTTGACGGAAACTTGGAGTCAGAGTTACTGCATCTTAGAACTCACAGAATGGTGGCGTCCTAATATTGTAGGCTGTCACATTCAGCTGTTAGAACGTAAGGATCCTGGATCCTGGGAGTTAATTCATTTAACACATACAACTTTAACACCAAGTATGTGCCACCTACATTCTGGGGGTAAAGAAGTGAGCAAGACTCCAAGTTGCCCTAGGTTCTCAGAGAACGTCAGTATTTAAGAGTCATAAAATGTGAGGCTGTTAGAAAAGTAAAGCACTAAAAAAAAAAAAAAAAGAAAGTAAAGCACTGACGTGTGGAAATCCTGGAGTGCCGAAGGTGAAGGGAAGTCTTAGATCATTCTCTCCAGCTCTCTCTGGCTTTTATGAGGCCCAGAGCGTGTTGCAGGCATGTCAGATTCAAATTTCACTAGGAAGAATATCATTCAGTTCAGGGATATCTCAGAACGGCCAACTTCGAGGGCTCAGAGATCGCCCCATCTTGGCTGCTTCTTTTCCAAGTGAGGCCACCGCGGCTCGGGGAGGAGTATCAGTGTTTTGCTGGGTAAGGTAGACCAGCCAGAGGCAACCCCGGGCTTCCGGGCATCTCGCACGGCACAGGCCAGCAGCTAAGGCGCGCGCCGCTACGGAGGTACCCTCTGAGGGCTGAGCCCATCTCCCAGCTCTTCACCAGGAGCTCACGCAACTTTCTCTGCGGAGAAAGCAACCCCGCCCCCAGATCACAGATCACGTGTGCAGTAGATCGCAGAGTTGGGAGAGCCCCTTCCCCCCGTGCGTGTTTTATTTTGATCCCCCTCCCACCCCCTGTGTGATCAATTTTCATTATTTATTTATTTTTTTTTTTTGTCTGTGTTTGTCTCTGTGGTTCGCAGGTGCGCCCGTGCATTGTTCGTCCGCTTCGTCAACCCCCATTGAGCAGTCCCCCTCCCCGCCCCCCTCCCCTCCGGCCAATGAGAGCCAGAGGCGGTTGCTAGGCAACGGTGTGGCCCCGCCAACCCCGGACTCAGACTCTGAGGAAGAGTTTGTCCCTAATTCATTCTTAGTTAAAAGTGGCTCCGCCAGCCTGGGGGTCGCAGCGAACGGTAAGTGTCTTTTTCTTTTCCTAACTTTTGTGGGTTTGTGTCTTGTGTTTCCTGTCGTGGGCAACGCCTGCTCAGGCCCTTGCAGGGGCGGAGGGGCCAGGGGCGTGGTGGGCTCGCGGGCGTTCAGGCCTGGGCGGCTGGGATGGCTGCAGCCCAGCAGCAGCTCCGGGCCGGGCTTGCGCGGAGCGTCTGGAGCTGCTGCTCCCTTCGCTGCGGACAGACCTGAGCCGGCAGGCGCAGGACTGAGGTGCACAGGCGGGCCGGGAGACGGAAGCGCGAGGTAGAGCCCGACAGGTAAAGACACAAAGATGAACGCGGGAAGAAGTAACGTCCAGAGATAAAAAGCACTGACTGGCGTCCTGTGCGCCAAGGCCTGCGCCAGAGATTGCCACCTGCTGCTTTTTTCTTCTTGCAGTTCGTCTTCACTGCTCTGCCTCTGAGAGCTGTATAGTAGAGTTCCCATCAACAGTAAGAAAACTCAGAGCATTTTATTCTCAATAAGCCCAGCACTGGCTACTGAAGTTCTGAGCCTTAACACAGCCTGAGTCAGAGGGCCCCCAGCGCCAACCAGCTGCAGGCTGAACCTGGCTGAGACAGAGCTGCAGGCCTACCTGACAGGCTGCCCTGGCTTCCCAGGAGGGGCGTGGGCAGTCTTGTGGGAGTGCTCCGGGCTGATCAGGGCATCAGGGCTGGCCAGGTGCTGCTAGCCCTGTGCCGCAGTGCTTGCCCTCTCTGCGTCCTCTAGAGAGGGCCAAGCCTTTTGAAGGATACTCTGCGGGGGATTCGAGCCTCCAAGGTAGGTGGGATGAAAGTGAGGTAACCCGAGGTCACCCTCACGCCCCCTTTCCTTGATGATTCTAGGAAAGAAAGCAAATGAGACCTCAACCATTTACCCACAAAAACAAAGCCGCCATACGCTGTGTTGATCTGGCAAGTGTTTCTTTGTAAGTCCCCCAGTGAGACTAAATCCCAGGTCAAATTCTAGACACAGAGACCAAGGTTTGAGAACGCATAAGGCAGAGTCCATGGCAGTTAAGACAGTTCTGTGTGAACTGTAAGTTTCTTGCTGGGCAGGTGAAACAAGTCTCACTGCCTCTAAGTTTATCTCTTTAAGCATAAAGGGGGGTAGCATCGGGCGAAGCTTGAAAGGACCTGTGTGTGAAAGCTCCCACGTCTCACCAGGCAGAAACATGCTCCAGGACAGCTGAGGGAATAGGGAGGAAGGAGCCTAGTGCAGGGGTGACAGGATGACCCCAAGGAACCTCCTTGTGGCCTCGGAGGGCCAGCGACATCTCCAGGAAGAGATGCTAACTGGGTCTGTAGGCGTAAGTCAGGCGTGCCCGGCAGAGAGAGAGCAGGAAGAAGCACGCTTGCCTGGGACTCCGGGGTCCTGTGATCCCACAGGAGGACAAGATGGCTGCCTGGCGAAGGCACCTGAGCCCCTCTAGGTACTCCAGGCCGCCCACAGAGGAGGGAGGCTTTTTACCCACCTCCCTTCCCTGGCCAGGACCTTCCCCAGCCTCTGCTGTCTCTGTAACCCTGTGATCTTCAGCCTTCATAGCTGTCTTCTGACTGGGCTTCCACGTTATGTTGCCGGTGCCTGAAGCCCGGGTCATTGTCCAGGGCCCGCTCTATGACACTCTCCAAGGGTGATGTTCCACTGGGTATTTCCTGTCACTGTGCACCATTCAAACAGTGCAGAAGGGGAATCCTGGGCCGGAGTGCAGCCACCTGTGAATATTTGTCCTCAGCAAGTCGCTGTCACGCCACAGGCCTCAGTGTCCACACCTGGCCGCTGATGGAACAATTCCTGTGGTGCTCTGATTTTGTGAGCATCACGTTGGTGCTGCATCTCAACCCTGCCCAGGGCCTTGTTGAGCTTCCAGAGAAGAAAAAGTTCTCTGGCTGTCTCATTCATGCATGTGTGCATACACATACATACGTAGCATGTTCTTTGTTCATTTCTGAAAAAATAAGCCTTGCAGGTGGAAAAAAGGCAAGAGATTAAAGCCTGTGGCCTCTCCTTTTGCTAATTACCAAGCAGAGCGATTGCTTTGTTGCAGGTTCTGAGGCAAACTGAGGTGCTGCTACGTTATTGATGTGCGGGGAAGGTGGGAACTTTGGCCCCCAGCAGGTGCTCAGTGTTACTGCTCTGTGGCTCTGCTCCCCTTAGGGCCCTCGAGACCCTTGGGACCCTTCCCGGGGACCTTGGTCTGTGCAGCACTGTAAAGAGTGCTAATGACTGTGTCCTCTGCCTGGCTTAGCCGGGAGGGTCTGCGGTGCTTGCTGCTCTGCTGCTGGGGTTTGGGGTCCTGAGAAATTCCAGTGCGTTCAGCACACAGCTGGGCCCTGCCACTTCCTCCCATCCCCTGAAACCACCAGGGAGGTCTTCCTTGGGCCAGAGGCCCTGCCACTGTGGCACGGACCTAGCACTAGCAAGTGACAATGTGGCCGCACCATGGGGGCTCAGTCCTTGTGTATAGGGCAGTGATGATGAAGCTAGGGCACAAGTATTGTGTATTTTTCAAGACAACAGCGGTTAATGTATGTGTTGTTTTTTCTGAACTAAAACCTCAGTAACCAGGTTGAGTCGCAGTTGCACTTTGGGATAAATGGGTGGGCTTAGGGTTCCAGTTTGGGCCCTCACCTCTAAAAGGTTCCCCATTCCTGCTGTAGGGTTCTGTTTAACTTTGGGTGGGTGAAAATATTTTAATGTGATTATCCCGATTTTGCTAACTAGAAAAGTATCGATGTTTATGAACATTCATTTAGCCCAGAGCATAAGATGTGAGGATTTTTTTTTTGGGTGGGGGCTGGCTCAGGCTGCCTTAAGGACTGGTCTGGTATGGCGTGTGGAGCTGGGGACCGAACCATGGTCTCCTGTGCCTGACTGAGTTTGCCCAAGCAGGTGCTTAAACTGAACTAAGCCTCTCCAGAGCGTAGGATGTGAATGCTCACAGGACCCTCAGATCGGCTCTCACTTGTGCCACCCTAGGCAGGGTGCCTCGCCACTGGGTTTCTCAGTTGTTCCATCTGTGAAATGGGAATGTCTGCCAGAGTAATTATGGAGTCTACAGTGGACAAAGCTGGCCGATTCTCTAACCCACAGGATATCCCAGCCACCTAGGTCAGGCTTTGGAAACCTCCATAAACAGAACAATGCCGGCAGGGCTGGCTTCCCAGGGGACTTCATTCTGTCTATATTTTAAATGATAAAGGAGCCTCCCCAGCTCCTGGAGGGTGACCAAGCTGAGGCTTCCCTTGGTGGAGCTGACCTCTGGGGACCAGCGTGGGCTGCCTTAGCTGCCCCGCTGGGCCCTGCAGCTGTGTCAACTCCAGCCCGAGACTGGGGATTCCTGGCCTTCTAGGCCTCAGAACCACCCTGTGAAAATCCCCTTGTAAAGTGCACGTGGGGCAGTGCTGTGTGGCTCATTGTCCCCAGAGAAAAGAAAACGGGGCGCGTAGCTCTTTCTGTCAGCACAGCCCTAATCCTCCCCCAAGGGCACACATCCAGAAATCACTGAGGTATACAAAAAAGATTTTGCCAAAATATCAACTGGTCACGGTTGAAAAGCTGTGGAAGTGGTTGGGATTAAGTAGGTATTTGTCCCTACCCCAGAGAAACTTTTCAGAATAAATATTAGATGTTTCATGAATTATTCTAATCTAAATTTTGAAGTGAGGAGGCTTTGACATGTGGAGGTTAGTATTTAAGAGGGTCGGGGGATGAATCCCTGAGAAAGCTGTGAAGAGTTTGTCAAAACCCAGGGGAGGCAGAACGGGAGAACAGAAAGAACAACTCTGGGTGCCTTCTGCCTGGGCTGTGCCTCCCTCACGCACCAGCCTATTCAGGAGGCTGAGGCCCAGGAGCTTGCCACTACTGGTCACAGATGAGGGGCCTGGGAGAGTCCAAAGCCACGCCTACTTGGTGCCAGAGCCCTCGTTTTCTTCCTTTCCTTCACCTTTCCCTTTCTTCCTTCTTTTTCTTCCTTCTCTACATCCCTCCTTCCCCTCTTTTTTTTTTTTCTAATTTTTTCCCCAATAAGAGATTGTATAATCTCTGTATCCTTCATAGGAGGCTGGAGAAAGTAAGGAATTCCACCAAAGAAAAGCTGGTTTTAAAAAAATTCCTAGGGGCCAGGGAGATGGCTCAGTGGAATAAGTGTTTCCCAGGCAAGTGAAAGGGCCTGAGTTCAATTCCCGGTTCTGGGGGGGGGAAAAAAAAAGCCTAGCTATTGATTTCCTGTTAAACCTGATCAAGATACCCAGTTCCACAGAAGCATTTTACTCTCATGGAATCACCAATTCTTTCATCTACCCTGTAACATTACCTGTTTTAGTCTCAGTGAAATAATATTGGCCCCAAAAGGTTAATAATTTCCTCGAAGTCAAGCAGCTCCCAAGTGGTAGAAGTGGATTTGAACACCAGGCCTGTCTGATATCATAGCATGGAATCTTTCCTTCATATTTTATGTTTCCAGGATGAATCGGGTTGATTTAGGGATGATGTAGGACCGCCAATAACCCAAATACAAGGGAAAGATTGTAACTCCCAACCTACAAGCCTGCTATGATTCCTATATGCTGAGTTAGTGTTCTGTAAAATTGAAGAATGAATTCTAGGAGCAGCAGAGTTTAAAAGCAGAAAATATTTACTGGGAGGAAAGAAAGCTTCTGTCTAAGGAGACAGAAGGGTCTTGAGTGGGTTGCTGGGGCTCCATCTTCTCAGGGGAGTTATACAGAACAAAACCACAAGGTGAGGAGGGTCTGAGGTGGAATAACGATTACCAGCTAACAAGATTACGAGTATAGTTGCTTAGGTAACATCGATCCAACTGGCTATCACAAAGGTGGGTCTGCGGTGGGCCTCACGAGGCCAAGAGCACCGGAGCTCCTCGAAGCCGCTCCTTAAGTGGTTGCTCAGTAGTGGGGCTAAACTTAACGACCTCTCTCGGTTCTAAATAAACTCTCTGCTGTTCCTGGGCGGTGGTTCCTCTCCT